GCTCATATGTGGAATATAAAAAAAAAAAAACAAAAAGCATAAATACAAAACAGAAATAAACTCACAGACATAGAATACAAACTTGTGGTTGCCAAGGGGGCGGAGGGTGGGGAGGGATAGACTGGGATTTTAAAATTGTAGACTAGATAAACAAGATTATACTGTGTAGCACAGGGAAATATATACAAGATCTTATGGTAGCTCACAGAGAAAAAAATGTGACAATGAATATATATATGTTCATGTATGACTGAAAAATTGTGCTCTACACTGGAATTTGACACAACATTGTAAAATGATTATAAATCAATAAAAAATGTTTAAAAACAAGAGGAAAGAAATGTCTTTCTCTGGACTCTGTATCAGTCAATATTGCTTAAAATAAAAATCAAGAATGACATGAATATTTTCGTATGAAGTATTTGCTTAAAGTTTGTTACATCTCTGACGTTCTCCTCAGCCCTGAGTTCACAGGCATTTCGATAAAGGCAAGTGGAGGAGCCACAGTGGGCTTATTCCTGGCTGCCTGAGGCACGTTTCGGGGTGCTAGCCTCTTGGTTCTAACATCATTGGTGCCAGCAGTTCTGGCTTGAGCCAGCTGGACTTTGGGCCCTGAGCTGTGTGGCTTGTTGAGAGCAGGCTGAGCTACTTGGAGTTAGAGCCAGTTACCCTGCTTCCCCTAAGTCAATCTTTGCAAAGTGTAAAATTCACCTTTGTGAATTTCAGAGAGAGAGAGAGAGAGAGGGCACGAAAGCGAGAGAGCATGTTTATAAAGGATGGATTCCCAGAGACCTACAAGAGAACAACAGAAGGCTGACATTTCCCCCTCCAGGCCAATTACTCGTCTCTCATTTTTCTTATTACTTTGCATAATAATTTTCTTCTTTCTCCTCTGCCCCTCTTTTTTTTTTTTTGAGTTCAGCTGCACTTAGAAGGACTTAATGGCATCACTTAAAGTTACAGGATTAAAAAAAAGAATGAGCACATATTTCCTCCTCAAGAGCAAACCATCCGCTCTGAGCACTTACTAACAGAACAGATTGAGGTGGGAGGCTATCCATGGTTATCCAGGGACCGGTGGATTTCAGCAGACAATGCCATGGAGTTATCACGAAGGACGCCTTCCCCGAAGCCTTAGCCCTTGTAGGATGTATACACCAGCTTTGAGGACATTTATTTCAAAGTCAGCCTGTACTGGCTCGAGAGAGCCTTTCAGCCTTCTCTGCAGCTTCCTGGTAATGAATAAAACAGGTCTGATCATTGTCAAGAATACACTCAGGAAATCTGTGGTGCAGGCCTGCAGCTTCCGAACCACGGACACAGAAATCTAGTTCAATCAGCGTTGAGAACGATGCCCGAAAGATGCCTTCTGTTTTGGGACCAGACAGGATGGCTGTATCAGCCACAACAAGGCCCTATTTTGATTGGTTTTCATCAATTTGACATTGGTGGGTTTTTTTTTTTCCTTCTTCTGTCTTGTGAAAGCATTTGGCTTTGAAGCAGAAAAAGGAATTTTTCAGTTGTAACTCAAAGTACTTTCTTATTGTCAGTCATAAAATGTGGGCTGGAGGATTTACCTTATGGTTTGGCTCCTGGCAAGAAGTAAGCAAGAGTCCAACATCAGGGGAAGGTATTAAATGGCCACTTGAGTTTCTCTTCTTTTTTTTTGGTACTTTTTTTTAGTTGAAGTATAGTTGATATACAGTATTGTGCTAGTTTCTGGTGTACAGCAGAGTGATTCACTTATACACATATCTTCATATTCTTTTTAATTACAGGTTATTACAAGATATTGAATACAGTTCCCCATGCTGTATAGTAGGTCCTTGTTGTTAATCTGCTTTATTTGTAGTAGTTTTTATCTGCTAATCTCAAACTCCTAATTTATCCCTCCTCCCCACCTTGAGTTTCTTTTCTTAATTCTCTTCTCCAGTCTGTTATTGTGATGCACATCCTGATGCCCTGGACAGAATTCCTGACATAGCCTTCAATGTGGGGGTCTGAGAGAAACACGTGCTCTCTCTTATCAGAATGAGGACCTCAAATGTCACAACCCCAAAGAAAAATACCACCATCTTAGGGAAATGATTCTGACTGACTAAGGTCCTCTAAGATACTATGTGCTGACACAGGGAAACTTAGGGCCACATGCTGAAAACATTTGCAGGCCTGGAAAATAACTGGTTTAACAATTCAAGATGCTTTTAAGCTACTAAGAAAAAAAAATACATGAAAACAAATAAACCTCCCTTTCCAAAAGTAATGGTGTAGGATAAGCTACCCCTGAAATGAATAAAACAGAGCTTGCTATTAAATGCAAATTCAGCTTTATAAAACTCCTCAACAATTGACCAAAAAAACCTCACCACCCCATACTCCAAATGGATGTGTAGAAATATCTATTTCATGATTTCAAAATATTTAGATGAAAAATGAAATATTTAGTCAATGTCTCAGATATATTTTCATCTGAGTGTCATACATCTCCGGGCTTCCAAAGAGATTCTCCAAGTCTTCCATAATCCTGGATGATTTTAGGAATTTTCTTTTTTTTTTGGTCCAGCTACACAGCGGACACTAGGATATTCATCAGTGTTTCTTAACCTTAGCACTGTTAACACTTTAGGCTGGATAAGTCTCTGCTGTAGGGGCTGTTTCAAGGCATCCTTAGTCACTGTTCACCAGGTGCCAGTAGCACTCCCCCAGTTGTGACACCCAAAATGTCTCTAGACATTGCTAAGTATCTCTTGTGGAAGCAACACTGCCACCAGTCAAGACACATTTTATTTACTTTTACTAATTCAGTTCCAAATACACAATACAGTTGGTGCTATTACTACCCTTTTATTTCTTCATCATTTATAAATAATGAGAAAATAGCTGAGAGTGTTTTAAACGATCTGTTCAATTTCATAGAAATTGAATTTCAATTTGCCACTTACGGAAGTGGCAAAGAAAAGACTTCGGCCAAATTTGCAATGCTTATATTCTTTATCCTAACACTGGGAACACCCAGAATCTGAGTTGAACAACAGTGGAGGTGTTTTCTCTGTAGTCTAAGATTTCTAAAGACACTAGAAATAAGTAAGTGAACACTTTCTTAAAAGAGTCATAAAATGACTGTATTCAAATTTCCTCCCAATTCAAAGATGTTCTTTGGAAGGCAGGGAAGGACCAGGCAGCTGGCCATACCTGGATGTGGGTAACTGAGCTATAAGTAACTGCTTCCATTTACTTCTTAACACTTGCTAGTTATTTCCGTTACTTGAATGAATAGATACGTCGAAAGAACCTGACAGATTCACTGCAGAGCAGACTGCTCTACCACTGGTTGGTGAGAGATCCACTGTGACAGTGGAAAGAGAATAGAATGTGGGAGTTGGGCACACCTAGTGTATTCTGCTCACCAGCTTGGGGAAAATGAGGAACTCCCTTTAGCTTTTGATTCCTTATCTGAAAAAAGGACAATCCTAACTATCTTGCAAGCTGATTATAAGGAGAAGTTAATATGTGCCAAGCCCATGACATAGAACTTCGTATAAAATAGGTACTCGATATACGCCAGCCATTCTCATGATTCATTTAATAGCTCTGAGTGAGAGATAAAAGGCAATTTTTTTTCTTTTCATTTGAGAATCAGTGGGGGAGACAGACTTCATAATATTTACTGGGCTTTGACTATATACCAAATACTGTGCCAAGTGCTTTACATGAATTATTTAATTTCATTCATGAAGTTCATCACCTACCGAACATTTATATTAGGCATCTCTTCTTTGGTTTGTTTACTCATCTGTTATCTGTCTCCTTCACTTACAAGAGAGCAAGGAGTATGTCTATTTTACTCACTGATAAGAGTCCCAGTGCCTCATCCCTCAATCAATGTTAGTTGAATTAATAAATTAATGAACAAGTGAAATAAGAAAGGTCCCCCTGGGAAGGATCTTTGACTCTCTTCTGTCAGGTTCTCTTGATTCTTTCATGGCAACATTTCTGGGATTCATTCATGTCTCATCATTTCCACAACCACTCACCTTCTCCCGACCCTCACCGCCTTGAGTCTGGACCATGGTAGCCACATCATAATTCTCATGTGGTCTCTAGCCTCTTCCCACTCCCACCCATGCTCCTTGCTGCCTCCCCGGGCATCTTCTTCACACACCCCCATCAATCAATCATTGTCAGTGACCAGGGCCAGGCCAACATCTTCATCCAAACCAAAGCCTTTCTGGATCAAGCTCAGTTTGCCCTAACCCATCCCACCCTCTAGCACTGAATAACATTATCCTCTATTCCAGGCAGATCACTATCTGCTCAAGCACTTTGGTAGATGAACCTGAAGACCATCCACCATGGACGTGGGGTACAGTTTACTGAGTGCCTCCTTTGATCAGGCACGTGTGCTGTGTTCTACAACACAAAAGAAACTCCTGTCCTTTCGAGCTTAAACCATAGTTAAGGATAAAAGCACCACAACAACTGAAGTACAGTTATCAATCGATTTGAAAAGGACTATACAGGATACCAGGTAGGCACCTGTTACCCACACTTGGGAGGTCAGAGAAAGGTGCCCAGGAGAAGGAGGGTATAATTTGACACCTGATATCTGAAGATACAGACAGCTTTTCTAGGAAGAATAGTGTATAGAGAATAATAGCATGACTTAGCCCCCCAGAAAGAGAATATGGCTCATTTGGTGAACTGAAAATAGTTGAGAATATCTGGAGAGCAGGATGCAAAGGAGGTGGAAAAGAAAGGACGGGTGAGAGATGTCTGGAGAGGTGAATGGTAATCAGAGATTTTTGACCTCACTCTCAAGACAATGGGAAATCACAAAGGAATTTTAAGTATGAAAACTGCAATGTTTCTATTTGGGTCTCTAAGAGGGGATGGCTTTTCCAGGGGCAAATATGCTACAATTTATTCCTCACAGAATAAAGCCTTATACAGAAAATCTATTTCCTGGCAGAAAAAGGGAATGCCACCTAAAATGCAGCAAAATGATTTTTGTCCTAGGAGTCTGGAAGAGCTCTGGAAAGCCTGCATTCAGGTGTCACAGTTCCTTTGTCTGTCCAAAGAGGGGAATTAATAGACACTATGATCTCCCCAGCTTCTCTCAGCTCCTGCCTCCTCTGAACCCTGGCTTCCTGCAGATGGGCATTTAAAATAAATGATTTTCTATGCTTTATGTTGATTTCTATTGTCTTTCATTATATTATTATTATTATTATTATTATTATTATTATTATTATTATTATTATTATTATTTTTGGCAGGAGGTAATTAGGTTTATTTATTTATTTATTTTTAGAGGAAGTACTGGGGATTGAACCCAGGACCTCATGCACGCTCAGCATGTACTCTACCACTGAGTTATACCCTCCCCCGCCAGATGGTCCTTTTAAAGCTGGAGCAGCCCTGTGATGAAAGGATGAGTCTCTTCATCCCTTCATGGCCAGAGGCTGCCTGTTCTCTCAGGAATAGGCTCCTGTAAAGTTAATCAGATAAAGTCCCAAGTATCTTAGTATTATACCTTTAGAATCTAGGAGTCAAATTAGCATAGATCACCTTATGGAAATGAAATGGAGAGAATAAACACCACTCCGCTTCTTGACTCCGTGCTGTGTGCCCTGCCCTGTTCCAGTACTTGACACCCATGAGCCCGTCCACTTGTCACAACCAGACGGCAGCATCACCAGCTTCCAACATGAAGGGGCTGAAGGATAAAGGAGGACTGTGGCATTTGTCCAGAAGAAATAAGCATCACGAACGGTGACAGCTTTGGTTCTCTTTTCTTATTTCCCATCACTTGGTCATTGACATTTCAAGCATATATTCAACACATTTGCCCTTTTCTTTAGTGTTGCTTCCCCAACATTTTTTTTTCATTTTAACTGAAACAACTGTCTTATCAATATATCACCATAATATAAAATTGAAAATATGCCACTCAGAGGCTGTGCTCAAGGGAATCAATTTCCCATCTCCTTTCCTTCTAGGTATGCCATGAAATAGGTGAGATCAAAATAAAATGCATCAAAGAATTAGTCTATGGAAATCTTTGCAGGAAATAATCCATCAACCTTTGAGATCGCCGTCTGGCTCTTAAAATCAGGGTAATTCCCTGCATACAAAACAGTAAGCTAATGTCAAACTTGAACAAGCCTGACACCAGGTACTCTCAAACAAGGAAAGAAATAGAACATAAGGAGGAGGTGATTTCAGAGGAAAAGCATGGATTCGGAATTAACCAGGCAAATAAGTGCTCTGATATGGAGAACTATTTCTTGTCATCGCCATCAAAACATTCCTGGCATTGAGGAGAATGACCCAGGAGCAAGAACAGGCTGGATGGACAAAGCTTTATAGCGATACATGCCTTCATTTTTGGTTTAAGGTCACCATGCAACTTTCTGTTGCAAAGATTAGTTTCCAGGGGAGACTCATTCTTCAGTCTCCAGGACTAGTCACATGCTACTGTAACTCCCATGGGGAAAAAGCTCCCCCTTAGCAAAATGGACTTTGGACACAGACAGACCTGAACTGAGGTCTTTTGCTCTACCACATTCTAGCTGTCTGTCTTCGGCAACTTGCAAAACTTCTCAGGGCCTAACTTCTCAGGGCCTGTGCTCCCTCATTTATAATGGGAATAATATCCGGTACTTTGAAGACATGCCATAAAAATGAGAGGTAACATGTGTCATATGCCTAGGACACCGCTTGGTAAAAGAAGGCATTTCACAGACAGTAACCATGATAATTGAGTGGCATTCAAGTAAATTGGTTTCCTTGAGCTGAATCATAAACATCACCCTTCCCTCAACACAGGGGTCTGTTACAAAGGAAGCTTCTGAACCTGCAGAGCTGGACAATGTTCTATAGACACCTTCAATACTCTGCAAAAATAGGCTGTCACAACAATCTCCACCATGGTAAAAAGACTTCCTTACAGTTTAGCAGCAGGCCTTGTTCTGCCTAGGAATTTTAAACATTCTTACTGCACAAATCTCCATCAAACAGTGTTTTGAGACACTTACGTATCAAGAGATTGTACTTATTAAATGATAAACTTATTCTCCCATTCTTTATGACTCTAAGGCACAGATCACTTTCTCTCATAGGTTTTGAATTGATATCGTTCATTCATTAACATCTATCTATGAAATACAATGTGTAACATGCTAGGGATACAACACTGACTGGGAAGTGGTTCTGGCCCACAGTGTGATGGGGAGACAGATACATGAAAGGACTAAAGGATGAATGAGAGATAACCAAGGAAGGAGATGCAGGAAGAATGATTTCAGCAAAGGAAACAGTGACTGCAAGGCTTCCAGGTGAGAGAACAGAGTGGATTCCATGAAGGAAAGATGCTTGCTACAGCTGGACTGTGACCTCCCAACATATTGTCCTTCAATGCCTCAGGTTGGTCAAGTGTACGATTTCTATTAGACTTTTTGCAAATTTCTCTCATATCACTAGTGCTTTCATAGACCTCTACAGATTTATAGAATGCCAAGAGAGAATAAGAAAGAGCTTTGGTCCAAAAAAAGTCTAAGCTAAATCCTCAGTTCCACAGCTGAGTATCTATACAATCTTGGGCTGGACACATGTCCTCTTCAAGCTTCAACTCTGACATCTACAAACAGAAGACTAATACTTACCTTGCTGAGTAGTTGTGACATTAAACACAGTGATGATTTGGTTAAACACCTAAAAGGCACCCTGACATGCAACAGGTACTCATTAACTCACAACCATTAGCCATCACTGAGAGCTTAAATTGTAAATTTCAAACTAGCCAACACTGATAAAGAGCCTGTGGTTAAAAACCAGGTATATCAAATTCAGAATTTTCCACGTTGGAGACCAAAAGCCCTCATTAATAATAACCATACAATGATAATACTGCTACTATTGAGTACTTACTCTGGACCAGACACCAGGGAAGCATTTCTCTTAAGTTCTTCTTTAGCTCTTAGAACAGTCCAAGGAGGTCATTTGTATTTCATGAAATGTTGCTCTCATTTTCTACAAAAGAAAGAGAAAAGTTCATGAACTCAAATATATTTTGACATTGTGAATTAAACAAAGTTAAACAGGTTATTTCCTTCAGAACTTCTGAGGGACAATAGGCATTATCAAATCCAACAGAGGAAACCAGTCGAAAGGGTTTTCCAAATGTATTTGACCATTAAATCCCCCTTTTTGGTTGGATGGATATTAAAATACCTTTGAACCATATTTTGTAAAAGACTAAAATAAGAATTATCAGCTCCATTTTGTACCTGAGAAAACCGAGCTCAGAGAAGTTAAGAATCATGCTTGATGTCACACAATTAGGAAGTAAAACGGGCCATTATTTGAAACCACATCTTTCTAACCCCCAAAACCACACTCTTGGCTACAGGACAATGCTTTTCAACACTGCCTCAAGTCTTAGAAACTGTTTAGGCTGCAAAAACCTTGGCTGTTCTCTGCTAAGCTCTGACAATTGTTCTCTAGAACAAGACCAAAGAAAAACTTAGGGTATCAAGTCAGGAGTCAGAGTCTGAGAGGATGGCCATCACCCCCTTTGCTAGGAAAAGACCAAAAGGATCCTGGGACAACTCTTTTCTTGCTGCGGAGAGGTGCTGAGCCCTGGACACAGAGCTCAGCTGGACACCTACCTTATTGCTTCCCACTGTACCGCAGGCTGTCTCCCTTAAGCCTCAGAGCCCACGCCACACCTAAGGGCGCAGTTCTTCTCCACATCTCTTTACCATTTTACTGGTACTTAGTGACAGCTCACACCTGGTTGTTCCCTCGGCAAAGGCAGTGGCAGCCCACCACTGAGCATATTGCTAAATTAAATAACTCACTCAGCCCAAACCTAATAATCCCTCCGCAAAGCTCAGAGAATATGAAAAAGAATTACTCCATCCAGTTCCCTTGGCATTATGGGAACAGGAGAGACTTTCATCTACTCTAGCAGTCCATATGTTTGAAGGTCAAACAACACCTGGGTATTTCTTTGAAATAAACTAATTGAGCCTGGATGATTTAGAGTCAGTCTTGCTGAAAGGCTCATTGGATCACCCATGGTAAAGCAAGATCTGCTTTTGAAAACTGTGGATCCACCAACCCCAGCTTTGTCAAATGGCAATGAATATCTGATGCTGTTCGAAGATTAAGACCTGGACCAAACAGACTCAGAAGAAAAAGAAAGGACTGCTTTCAAACTGCTAAGAAAAGGCATCTTGGCCCCAGGTGTTCAGGAGGTAAAGACATCAGGGCCAGCCAAAGGAAAATCAGGCAGAGGGCCTGAAAAGGAATAGTTCCTAACCACTAAGTGTGCGTATAAAGCACCTGGGAAACACATTAACAATGCAGTCTTCCCAGCTGGCCTTTGCCTTTTGTTCTCCTTGTAGCTGGTTTTCATGGAAATCTTATTTGTAAGAATAACAGACTTAACACAGAGACCAAGGTGATGCAGAGTGGGAGAAAAACATCAGATTCACCTACTTGGTTTCAGTCACATGCCACCACATACACCAACTGGTGGCTTGGTTTGTGCACAGGCAGCCTCTACCTGAGAGTCCAAGGTGGGCCTAGAGATGAAAATCCCCCTCCCCGTGAAAGGTAAGCCGCCCTAGTTCACACACACGTGGGACCTTGTACCTCTCCACAGCGTTTACGGCCATTGTGGTGAAATATTTCTTTACTGGACTTGGACTGTTAACATCTTTTTCCCCACGAGAAGGTCAGTTCTATAAGGAACACACCCCTCTTGGTCACCACATCTCCAGAACCTAGCTCGGGACATTTAGATGCTCCCTAATTATTTGCCAAGGAAATAAATGAATGGCATTAGAAACAAATTACAAGGCATATCAGAATGCCCTGGAGCAAATATTTTGGGAGATAAATAGTTTCGGGGGAAAAAAAAACCAAGACATTTCACAGGCATGGATTTTCATTTTAAAATTTAAAAATGTATATTCTTGTCCAGAACTATACTGTTTAGTTTTAGCTACACTCAGTCATTATGACTAAGGGAGATTTTGGAAACTGGAAGAGTAACAACAACAGCGGAGTCATAACAAGAATGATGGTCAGAGCTCACATTTATCAAGGACTTGTGTGCCTGGCCCTGTGCTAGTTTTTGTCCATGTATTACCTCATTTACTTATTATTATCCCCATTTTAGAAAATGAGAGGAATGGGAGCTGACCATAAGAATTCTAGTCTGTCTGTGCTCTCAAACAGCATGCAGATTCTGAAAGGAAAAAGTTCATTCATTTGTGCATTCATTCATTCAATAAATATCTAAGTATGGGCTCTATCCGAGTACCAGACACTGCAGACAACAGCAAGCAAAAACAGATAATGTCTCAATTCTTTTGGAGTTCATAGTCTAGTGGGGAGACAGAGGTTAACCAATAACCAGACAAATAAGAAAGAAAGAAAAAACCTGTTTTAAGTGCTATGAAGGAGCAGGATATGGTATTAGGAGGAATTAGTTGTTGTCAGCTTTCTTGAGTTAAGACCTGAAGGAAGAGTAGGCATTAAACAGGGAAGGAGGAGAGAGAACAGCTTTCAAAAAAAGAGTGGAGAGCTGTTCAAAGGCCCTGTGGTAGAAAGAAACATGATGCAAAAGGGGGAATGAAAGAAAGCTATAGAGGCTGAAGGGTGACAGCAAGAGGCCAAATATAGCAGGATGGTAGGTAGCCTGCAGATCAGTGGTTTTCAAATCTTAACATACACATCAGAGTCACCTAGAGGACTTATAAAACACAATCTGCTGGATTCTTCCTGAGAGCTCCCCATTTACTAGATTTGGGGTCAGGTCCAGGACTTCGCATTTCAGAACACACACTGGGGTGATGCTGATGTGTTCTGAGACAACACTTTGAGAACTACTGCCTTAAGACTATACAGAACCTGGTGGGCCAGGAGATGGATTTTTTTGATTCTGTCCTAAGGAGAATAAAAAATTACTGAAGTATTTTAAGCATGAAGGTGATATGACTCAATTTATCTTTTGAAAAATAAAAAGTCACTCTAGTTGCAGGGTAGAGAAGACTAACTACATAGGGAGACAAGGAAGGATGCAAGTAGACCAGTCAGTAGGTATGCTGCAGTCGTTCAGGAAGGAGATAACTGTGGCTTTGACCAGAGTGATGACAGTGGAGACAGAGAAGCAGATGGATTTGAGAGAGATTTAGGAGGCTGAAATCTGTAGGACTTGGCCGTGAATAGGACAGTTATGGGAGAGGATAGTTCCTTGGCTTTTGCTTGAGTGATGAGACAGACAGTGGTGCCATTCTCTGAGAGACCCTGGACAAGGACCATGCCTGGAGGAGAAGATGATGAGCTCAGTCTTGGACTTGCTGGGTGTGAGGTACCTTTGAGGCATTCAAAAGATGGCAAGTAGACAGCTAATTTATGGGTCTGGAGTTAAGTGGTGAGATCAAGACTGGAGATAAAAATTGTGAGTCATTTGAGTATATGTATGATATGAAACCATGGGGGTGGATGCAATCACCAGGGAGAGAAATTAGAAGAAGAAGAGCAGAGGGCCTAGGACCTCCAAAATTCACAGCCTAGGTAGAAGGTGAGCCAACAAAGGAGAGAGACAAGAAGTAATGGGACTAAAATCAAAGAGAATTGTGCCCTGAAGCCAAGGGAAGGGAGGCAACAGCAGGCAATAATTGCTTCTCAGAAGTCAGCTAAGATGAGGAATGTCGACTGGATTTAACAGTATGGAGCTGACTACGATGAGAGCTAATATGGTGAAGGAAGAGAGGAGAGATAGGGAGGTAAGCTTTTGCTGAAGTTGGGAGGACAGTGTTTCATCCCCAACCTTCATTTGGTTTTATTTTCAATCTTCTCCCTCTTCAGTGATAGCCCAATCCTGTTACTCCCCCTCCTCATTTACTGCCAAATGAATCAAGAACTTACTCTTTCCCTTTGTACCTCTCATTTATCCTTCCTACCACTTCAATTTGACATCTAGTCTCACTCCATTTTTATTAAGTACCATATCCATTTGTTATTTGTTATTTGTTATACTAACCAATTGAATAGTTGCAAAAATTCACCTACTCTTTAACAAAAATGATTCTACCTTTTTTTCATTAAAGGTGATCTCAAGAATGCTAGGCTCTAGGTTCTGTTTTTATTTCTCTCATTGGCCAATTACCTTTGGAGAAGAGACAATCATGGGAACATCTGCTGACTAGGCAGTGGAAGGTAAAAGCAATGGAAAGCCAAAGATGACAAAAGTCCTTTACTTATACGAGGAGTCTATCTGAATGTCTATAGAGGGGAAGTGGATTTTTTTTTCTGGCCCAAATCACTCCCTATTCAACAGCAAACTTCAGGTTTGGGATTCAGAGCCAGCTAGATTAGGACATAAAGCTTAGTTCTACAACTTCCCAGTGTAACCTTGGACGAGATGCTCAGCCTCTCTGAGACTCATTTTTTATTCATGGATAAAATAGTCACAAGGATAGATATGTTAAAATACGACTGTAAAGGATTAACTGTTGGGCACAGTGCCTTAATGTTAAGCAATTAACACAGTATAATAGTGACTGTAGTGGGCCGAGCAAACACCTAGAAGGACGAAAAGCAACCCTGCAACGTGGAATTGTTTTCCAAAACTTATCCTTAAATCCCAAGTATTTATTTAGGCTTTTCTACACTAGTCCCTTTAAAGAACATTTAAATCCATTACACTTTAAAATTCATTCACTTTGGATTGTGCCTTTTTGAATCAATACTGTACTCTTCCAAAAAAAAAAAAAAGAGCATGCTGAAGTTGCTTTTTAAAATAAAATACTCCCAAGTTTTTAGTGTTTAGCGTCTATGTAAATAAAAAGAAAAAATGAGGTGGGTTATAAAACAAGGGAAAAAATAGATGAATGGAACAGGTTAGTTTTGTTCCGGATATGCAGATAAAACAAATATAAGGAAAAAAAACAAAACGTGGCTGAACACCTTTCCCTAAGGGAAAAAAAAAAAGCAGAATAGACAATGAAAATATATCTCATCCATTCATTCATCCAACAAATCAATTTTAAACACTTTCTTAGTAAAAAGTCCTGGACTAGGATCAAAACTAAAAGAATCAGACTTTGTTGTTGTTTTTATACTTCCATCCTGCCAGGTACAGCCCTGACTCATTGTTTGAAGAAGAAGAATCAACAGATCAGATGCCAAAGAGAAAAGAAGAGGTGTGATATATGCATGGATTTTCTGCAGTTTGGTACATGGTAACCATAGTATTACTGCATCAAGATTTCCACATAAAGTTCATTATCCATCTATTGCCAAGTTAATGGCAAAAGAAATGTTACTCAGAAAAACTCCATCCATTAGCATCACTAATCGACTCATGAGAAAAGTAAGTCATAATGATGATGATAATGATGTTAGCCTTTACCATTCATATTTTAAAGCAGTGTACATCCATTTACCTGTGTTATCTCCTTTACGCTAGTAAAAACCTCATGAAAGGGGAAATATTTTCATCCTGGCTTTACAGACAAGGAAACTGAAGCTAGGATGGGTTAAGAAATTTGTCTGAGGTCACAAAGTTTAAGTGGCAGAACTGAAACCTAACAGCATGTGCTCTATAGCCTAACTCCCCGTTGTTTTTTTTTATATTTTGCTTGTTTTGTGTGTCTTATGAGGGGGAGGTAATTAGGTTTATTCATTTATTTATCTTTGGAGGAGGCACTGGGCATTGAACCCAGGACCTTGTGCATGTTAAGCACATGCTATATCACTTGAGCTATACCCTCCCCCTCAACTTCCCCTTTTAAATTAACTTTTTCTTGGGTCCAAAACAAAAAAACACTCTAGTTCTGAATTGTAAAGTGCTCCATCTTTATATACCCTGTCCACTGAGTCTTTGGACGTCATAATGGTCCCCACAAATCAAGTGTGAAACTACTTTTTTTTTTGAGCTTTTCTGCAAAGCAGCATGTGCACTCAACTCATTCTTCATCTTCCAAGTCTTCCCTACCATCTCCCCAAGCAGGGAAGCCCCATTGAATTGACCCTTGAGAACTTTCTGCAAATTAATCATTCTGAATCCTGAAGCTCAGCAAAATGTTTCCCATTCTAACCAGAGTGCAGCAACTATTTCTGGCACCCAAAGAATGCTTTCCCTGGCTACCAGGAAGACCTTTGAGACTAGCTGAAAGGAAATGGCAGAACTGTTCTTAACTGTGAGGTCATCTAGAGCTGGTGGCCCTCCGACCTAAGGAAAAAGGATATTTTTCCTTGGGTAAGATTTTCTAGCCATAAACTTGTTTTATTGTACCCATTGTTTTATCAACGACAGTATCATCTCCCTGAGGACCTTTTTGCTTTTGGTCTTCCATGAGTCATTTGGAATTTTCACTGAGACTCAACCCTAGTTACCTAAGCATCAGATTCCTGCACTCTTTGGGGGTTTACTTTTTAAATATAAGATCTAATCATTTCATGCCAAGAGGCTGTATGTTTTGTGAAGTTCCTGAAGTCCAGTAAAAGCACAAAGATTCTACTTTTCATTCAGTGTAAGTTGTTATATATTTAAACCAAGGCTATTCTTGGTTTACATTTGAATAAAGTTTTGAAGCATTTATTATATGCCCACCTCTGCGCTAAAAGGTCACATATACTATTGCTTTTATCAAAATACGATTTTATTTTACAAGAACTCTTGGGCGTGGGAAGTATTACTATTATTATTACTCTCACTTTACTGTTGAGAATGTGCTTAAATAACTTGCTCAAAATGTTGACAATTTCTGAAGTGGAGTGATGGGTACATGAGAGTTTATTGTACTATTTTCTCTAATTTTACTTATGTTTAAATTTTGTCTATAATACAGTGTCATTGCTGTTGCTTTTACATTAACATTCCAAAGGCACCCAGTTCATGAGAAGAGCCTGTGGTTTCAAATCCCAGTTTATTAGCCTGCAAAGTCCAGGCTCCATTAACATGACCATACTGTTGACTACTGCCCACTTGAAAATGTTAGTCGATGTCTGCGTCATACCAGAACAACTTCCTAGAAAACCCAAACCCAAGTTTGGGTCAGCCCATTTGATATACTCTGCAGTAGACAGCCATCCTAAAAAGATTCTTGGATTGAAATTCCTGAGTGTACTACATGACAAAAAGCATTTCTTATCTGAAAATGGCTGAGTGTTTTTTCAGAGCAAGCAAAGCCACATTCTTACCATGAATAAGCTGTATTTGTTTATTTGTTTATGTACTCATTTATTTATTTAGCATACTATTTGTGGTATAAACAGCCCCTCCTTTTTGGGTGTTGGGAACCCATGAACAGCAAATATGGTATCTGGCCGCAATTCTAGCATAATATGAGCACCACATTTGCTGTTTCCTGGTTATTTATCTCTCGAGATACATACTCCTGATCTCAAATAATGACCAGGGGATATTTAAGATGGGGTCTAGACTATCCTTTTACTAAACACCTAACAGCAATACACAGCTCATGTTTCCATAACCAAGTGCTATTGATTTCATGGCTTCATTCTTTTGTTTTTTAAGGTGGCCTGTAAAAATGTATTTGTTTCCTAATGGACAGTGGTAAGTTTATTTTCTCCTGTAGAATCTTACAAGCCCCTGTGATACATGCCGTCATTCTCAGATATGGGGAAATCAGGCTTAGGACTGACCCTGACACCAATTTTCCAATAACATTTATGAACAACTTATAGCCACAACTGTTAGATACATCCCCGTGACTTGTCATTTCATTATGTCCTTGAGAAAACATGCGATTTCTTCCTCGTGCCAGAGTTTCGTTTAAGTGGACCTCAGACTTGCCTGAGGGATAGTTTCTGGAGAAGCAAGGAGTTCTGGGAAGCATCAACCATCTGTCAGGGGTGGGGGAAGCATTACTTAGTTTGTAAAAAGAAGAAAAAGAAGCTCTGTGGAGCTTAAGAACATAAACTGGGGGAAAAAAAAAAGAGGAGAGGGGCTGTTGGGTTGCGTTCTTTCCTTATCAGTAAAATGGCTTATTCAGATAAATCTTCTCCGTGGAAACCCCTCTGATGCTGTGGTTTCTGAACATAAGGAAAACATTTTGAGCCACTGAAAATGCTGATAAGGCAGTAATACAACAGCCGTTTTCTTGGCCAAATCTGTTATTCCATAAAGATGCGTATCATATATAAGTTATTTAAATACCACAAAACATACTGAAGGCCTATCTCTTGTTAAAATAGGTGACTGAAAATTAATATATCCGAGCAAAATATTATCATGGCACTAGGGAGGTAAGATCAAAAGCTGAACAAAGGTTCACCTCTTCTCCAAACCCATCCCAGCCCTCGCCCCCATCACTGAATTAAAGCAAACATGTCTTTGTAATTCTCCGGCTTGATGTCTTGATCCAGGAGCTTTTTATGCTTATCAGACCCTACATCCCCTTTCTATTACAAATATTTGATAACATAACCAACCTACACACACAAAACTTGAAAAATATTAACATGATGACTTCACTATAATATAGAGGAAAAACAAAGAAAATCTATTTATTACTAAATTAACACATTTTAAAATATAAGTGCTCAGGCATGATTACACTAAAAGACATACTGATGCTTCACCCCCTTATATGAAAGCATTTTGAATTGAAGAAAAGTTAAGAGTACTTGTAGGACGTATCCAATCTTTCTCTTTCCATTTGACATTTTGAAATGAGAACTAAATAAGTATATTCACATATGCACGCACAGAATTACCATGAGTGTGACAGCTACAAACTCAAACTGATACTCAAACGCAAACAAATTTTCCTAAGTTGTATTGTCATTAGTGACAGGATTTTTTTGAAATGGTGAACTAAAAATCTCTGAAGGTAATAAACTATAATCTACCCGCTGTAGCTGCATTCCTGGAAAATAAAATAATATTAAACCATTATCTATCTATCATCTTTTTTAGTCTAGGTTCTATATAGGGTAATCATATGCAGGTTTTGAAATCAAATACACATCCAGCAGAATTTCTGAAAGTCATACAGGGCTCAGGAAAATTTCTAATTTTATGTGACTACCTTGTACATTACAGGATGCCAACCACTCCCAAACTCAACCCACTAAATGCCAGTCGCATCCCCTCAATTGTGAAAACATAAATTATCACCACAAAACTCGGAAAAGCCTCCTAGTGGTTGTGCTCTTCTTGAGAATCAGTATCTAATGGAAACATCAATGCTTTCCTGCACAACTCGTACTGCGGTTCCTACCAGGGATGCATTCTTCTCACTTTCTTCCAGTTTATTCGTTTTAGAGCTCAGTAAATTCAGTCCCACACCTTTGACCTGGACTGCCACTAGCTCTTCTAGCTGGACAGATCTCTACTACTTCTGAATTCCCATTACATGGATTATTTCTGGGGTTCACATCAACAAGTAGGTATCTACTAGCCCATGTTGATATTTGAAAGTTATGTGAACATGTCTTATCCCTCCAAATCAACTGTAAATTTCTTAAAAGCTAGCTTTGCAGTATTTCTATTAACAAAGTTCTGTAGAGGCACCTTGGACTAACATTGAGTTAATAAAGCTAAATGTCTGGGGAAGTGGATTTAATACTTTTTGGACTTAATGAAAATGTAAATTTAGAACAATGCAGGTTATAACTCAAAATTCCAAGTTATTATATCACAGAATATTATTCCTACAGTACAAATTCACTCTGATCCCAAGTCACAGTACCTTGCACTCTTAATTATATCCATTTTGAACTTATAACTGTCAGAAATCAATCCGTCTACTTTCTCTAAACCAGTACATCTCAAACTGTAGTCTCTATATACTACTTGTGTCACTATCAACTGCAGATACTTGTTAGAAAACAAACAAACAACAAACAAAAAACCAATATTGGGTACTGTCCCCTGGAATCTACACTTTGAGAAACACTGTTCTATATAACATACCTCAACTGAGTTAATTTTATTCCTTCATTTTGAAACCATTACCCATGTTTCTTGTATGTGAGTAGGACTTTCACATTAAATAGGGGATCCAGTCAAAATGGTAAAGCAGCCTCTAAATCCAACCTTAAAATCCTACAGATTGTAAATTTCACAAAAGCCAAGGTCAAGAAGAGGAATCATTTTGGCAGTTGATTTTTAGTGATACTGTCTCATTTATTTCAAAGTGTCAGCATTTGGTGCCTGCGCACTATTTCATGAATATTTTGCCTATGTGATGCATCATTCTGCTGGCCAAAATCTGTTTCCATTCCAGATAAACTCAAATACATATATTTAAAAAATTAATTCATGTCATATTATGAAAAACTACATGGAACCAAACTGGATAACCTAGAGGAGA